AAAAAGGAAAAATAAAATAAGCCGCCAAACTTTCCCTCAGAGTTGTACTATTGTATTCTAATACCAACCATGTGTGAGTTGTTCCTAATTTTTGTCAACACTTAATATTGTCAGTCTTTCTTATGGTAACTATTCTAATGGGCCTGAAAGGATATTTTATTGTGGTTTTAATTTGTATGTTACTGCTAAGTGACATATTGAACATCCCATATGCTTATCTTTCTGTGAGCACAGGTTTTTAATTTTGATGATTTCCTTATCAAGTTTTTTTATAGTTAAGGTTTATTGTGTCTTCTGAGAAATTTTTGCCCACTTCAAAATCACTTCAAGATATTCCTCTTTATAGCTCTAGCATTTATATGTAGCTCTATTATCCATCTTTAATTTTTTTTGGGGGGGTATATGGAATGAAGTAGGGTTGTTGACACTCCACACCCTTCATGCAACTAATTGTGCTAGTGACTTTTGTTAAAAACACCTTCTTTTCATGATTGAGTTGATTGGGGCTGTAGTGAAATTCAATTGATTGCATGTGTGTAGATCTATTTGTAGATTTTCCTTACTGTTCCATTGATGAATCTGCCATTTTTAGGCTACTTCCACAGTATCTCAGTTACGTACTACTCTCTAGGAGGTCTTGCAATCAAGTAGAATTTTTTCCCTGAGATTGTTTAGCTAGATTCTTAACATTTTTATTTATACTCTAGAAATGACTTTTCAGTTTTTTAAAAAGCTGTTAACATTTTGCCTTGAGTTGTGTTGGTTTTATAGATAAATTTGTGAAGAATGGGTATATTAATAACGTTAACATTTCCAATTCATGCACATTTCTTTCTCCCAAAGAGCCCTCATGGTATAGAAGGTTATGCACTGGGCTGCGAATAGCAAGGTCACAGCTGCTCAGTGGGAAAAAGATGGGGCTTTCTACTCTCATAAAGAGTTCCGGTCTCCGAAACTCCCGGGGCTGTTCTACCCTGCCCTATAGGATTGCTGTGAGTCGGCATAGAGTGCATGGCAGGGAATTGAGGGAGGCCCTCGAGGCAGGAGAAAGACAAGGCCGCCTTCTGTTACAGCTTTGGAAACCCAAAGGGGCCGCTCGGCTCTGCCCTGTGGGCTCTCTGAATCAGACTTGACGCTTTGGCCGTGAGTTTGTTTTTTGGGTTTAGTTTCTCTCAGCAATGTTTTGTGTTTTCTATTGTGCCTGGTGTTATATATATTTTGTTAAAATGATACGATATATTTAGAAACAAAGTTTGCTTAAATTTAAAAAATCATTTTATAATAGATCATTTAACTTTTTCACTGCTTTTATATAGTTTTTGTTTTAGAGATAAACTCATTAGAAAGTTCTCATGTAAACCAACCAGAGTAAAGCTTTTATAATGGCCTGTTAAACAAATCCTCCTTGGGATGACAATAACATCGCAACAGTAGAATCAATCTGTTTTCTTAAAATTAGCTGTTTTCCATGTCAAAAATAACCAAAGTATGAAGAAATGGAAAGATAAAATTTGTTTTGAATAATTGTTAGTCTATATGCAGATAAAGGGATAATTCTGTTTTTAAAAAAATTAAAGCAAACGTCTTGAAGTAGACTAGTTATAATGCAACATATAGAGATGGAAAACAAACAAACAAATAAGCTGACTCATAGAGACCCGATAGGACAGAGTAGAATTAATTGCTCCTCTAGGTTTCTGTGAGTAAATCTTTACAGAAGCAGATGCCCTCACCTTTCTCCCATGGAGTAATTGGTGAGTTCGAACCAGGGTCCTTGTAGTTAGCAGTTCAGTCTGTAACCCAGGACACCACCAGGGCTCCTGTGGTGCAAAGAGGAGAGAGAAAAACAGAAGATCAACTATTGGCTAATCTTAACATGCTTGATTAAATCTTGTCTTCCTCCTTTTACTGAGATTGAGTGAAAAGGGATTAGTAGATGACCTTTGGTCAGACTGTTAATGATTTTACTCTCCACCCACCTGCAGCCATAATGAATTAATTTTTAAAAATTAAATAAGCCTTAGGTCAAGGAGTCCTACTGGCACAGTGAGTTATGCATTGGACTACTATCTGCAAGCTCATTGATTCTACGGCACCACACGCTCTTTAGGAAAGATGAAGTGTGATGGGTCAGAATTGACTCAACAGCAATTAGTAGAGTGCTTTTTCTTGTTTGTTTGCGTTTTTCATTAAACTCCTCAGGTAGTGGATTTACTATTGCCTGTTCTTTTATCAAGAAAGGGAAGTTGATATAGAAACACTGGGGAGACAAAGAGACCAGCAAATTGAAACTACAGGCAGTATTAATTTGGAGCGAGGAATTTTTAGGTTTCTGGATAAGAAATTTTTTATGGAAGTAGAAA